CCTATAGTCTCCATTGTAGCTCTTTTGGTTGGCTACCTCGTATGGCAAAGGATCCTAACCATGAAGTTGGTCAGCCGCAAACAAGGAGCTTCCAGGGGGACTGCAGGAAAAATCCTATGAAGGCTCAAACTCTGTCAGAATCACAAACCCCCCTAAACCCAAAAACCCTAAACCCTATCAACCCCAAACCCGAAACCCTATAATGCCCTATAAACCCTAAACCCTAAACCTAAAACTCTAAAGCCCTCAAGAAACGCCCCGCAAAAATCCGACACCCGAAAGCCGGCAGACCCAGTCTTGAAGGGGACTAAAGCTGAGACATCCCAGAAATCTCTCCATTATTGACCTCCCAGAGTTTTGGGGGCCTTTAGGGTTTATAGGGTTAAGGGGACCAAAGCTGAAACATCCCGATGAAGACTTCCTAGAGTTTTAGGGTCTTTCGGGTTTAGGGGCTTTAGGGTTTTTGATGTTTAGGGTCTTTCGGGTTTAGGGGTCTTAGGGCTTTTGGCTTTTAGGGTTTAGGGTTGGGGGTTTAGGGTTTAGGGTTTGGGATGTTCTATGCCACCCATCCAGCAAAAGCTTGAGGGGTTTTGGGAACCTGCTGACCTTCACAGACGCCTTCCACATCTTTACAAGGGCCCATACGAACGCATCCCGTGCAAAAAATCACCGTGTCATAAAGCCTCCACCACAACTCTTTCCCTAACCCTCCAGGTACCTACTATATAGAGTACTAGAGCCCCTAGGGCCCTATATAGTAGGCACCTGGAGGGTTAAGGTTTCGACAGGCGTGGCAGGGGACTCTGCGTTGGACGCGCAGCTGCGAGCTGCGGGGGCCGCAGGTGCCCTGACGGTTGTAGGGTTCACGGTTTCGGGATATTTATATTAATCCCTGAGGGTCCATGTACTTATAGTATATACTATTGGGGTACATGGACCCTGTAGGAATATAGGGGCCTTAGTACTTAGAATAGGGTTTGGGGGGTTCCTTATTATAAATTATAGTATAGTGTACCCCAAACCCTATTCTCACTATTAAGGCTTTTACATTAACTCAGTAACTTCAGCAGGCCTAAACACTCCGAGCTCTGAGCCCCGAGCCTTAAGTGCCAGTGCTCGCCATGAGCCCTAAACCCCAAACCCCCAAACCCCTAAACCCCTAAACACCTAAACCCTAAACCCTAAACCCCTAAACCCTACACCCCTAAACCCTAATTGGGGGTTATTGGGGGTTCTACTTTCTAGATCCTTCCGATTACTTTTTGGCCAAAGTA